TCTGATTGGTCAGTTTATAATTATTGTTGTTATGGTCCAGGTTATTCTGATTGGTCAGTTTATAATTATTTTTGTTATGGTCCAGGTTATTCTGATTGGTCAGTTTATAATTATTGTTATTATAGTCCGTGTTATTCTGATTGGTCAGTTTATAATTATTGTTGTTATAGTCCGGGTTATTCTGATTGGTCAGTTTATAATTATTGTTGTTATAGTCCGGGTTATTCTGATTGGTCAGTTTATAATTATTGTTGTTATAGTCTGGGTTATTCTGATTGGTCAGTTTATAATTATAGTTTTCCTTTGACTAGGAATGTTAGTCCAACCTGTTAAGGCAGTTTCATTTGTGTGTTTGTTATTTCTAATCAAACTGTAATGTTTATAGGTCTAACCACATCATTATGTCTCATTTCCAGTTATTTGTTTTCTAATAGGACTAACAAGATTATCTTCTAAACTTGTACTCTAGTAATTGTGGTAATTTTTTCTTATCCACAGGGTATTTGTAATAATAGTTCTTCGCATGTTTCTTTAAGTTGCTGGAGTCTTCTGTGGAACATTGCTGCTTAAAATCTTTAGCACAATATCCAGTGTTTACATACACTAAAACAACTGTGAGGTTTTGGTGACTTTTCCTTAGATGCTTCATATTAAGCTCGACAAACCAATTGTATTTTCTTATTTGCACATTCTTTAGAGTTAGGAGATCACTCAACAGTAGCTGTTCTGCAGCTCTGAGTAACTCTGTATTAGTCATTTTGAAGGTTTTCTATAAAACATAAAGTTCAATGTTTCCCTACAAGATGGCTTTTCTACCTTGAATTAGTGTAATAGATGCATCACAATCTAGAATGACACCAGCACCAGTAGACTGAGTATAATGCAATCAACTCATGAATTTTCATTTAGCATATTCATTATTCCTGGACTGGTGTCATTTATTTCTCTTTGTGATGACTCATTGTAAACAACTGAAAAGAAAACAGCACGAATGACAAGTCATTATTTAAAGTTCCTTTTAGTAAGTTTCTCGTTAGGGCTGATTCTTTCAGATGCATAGGAAAATGAACAGCTCTGTTTATTGTTCTAATAACTTACCTGGAGTATTATCTTAAACTGACTTCATAGTACTCTACCATTGTAATCCTCTTAACTTTGGGTCTAGGAAGGTTGAAGTGGCTCCATAAGTGTTTGTGCAGATGTATCATTGAGTATGTTGATGCAGTACCTTCATTTAGAGCAGGCATTGCTGTGCTAATTGAAGTAGTCTATGCAGATGCTACTTCTCCATATGGTTTTGTTGGAATTTCTTGGCAGCAGATGATAAATATCCATGTAGTCTGATTTCTAAAAAGGTGACCTTGCTTTTCTCTCTCTTTGCAGTGGTTATATATGGTTTCCAACATTACTTTGTGCTTTGTAAACTTGTTCATCCTTATCTTTTTATACTGTGACAGTCATGGAATTTGTAGTTTCCTTAATAGCTGTGTGTATGGCTTTAACAAAATTTCACCCATCAAACTTCTCTTGTACATCATCTTGGATACAACCGTTTTTAAATTCATATTAGTATATATTTTTTTTCAAACTGATGGTTATGCTCATCAACTTTACTCTTGCTGTTTCAATGTTTTTCAGATTTTGATGTCATGTACCCAATTTTATTCTTTCCTGTTCTAGTTTATACATTTTACTGCCTTTATGAATTCTTATGAAATTTCAAAGTTTTTAAATTACTTGTAATTCCTACATAGCTCTTGGTCCTGTAGTTACTGAATATAACTACAAATCTCACTCTTGACAACAAATTATTACATACTAAACTTTGAACTGGTCCTTTTTACCTTTTGGATTTCGTAAATTTCTTACTGTCAGGTTTTGGGTATATGGATATATGGGCCGGATTCTTTACAGTAGGTGTCTATGACTTATTAGCAATAAATTTCAACAATAAACAAACAGCACACAGTCCACTTCTTTTAAAAAAATATATTAAAACACTATTGGTTATCACAGTTGTATTCAGAGCTTTAAATACTTGTCCTTTTTTTGTCAAAGTCCACACAGGCTGGTTCAATTACTTTAGAACACAATTAAAAAGACAAATTATTCTTTTCTACTCTGTTATTGCAATACAATCTGGGATAATTTCTCTTTAGAAATTGACATTATATGG